AGGCAATCTGATTCTAGAATATATTAATAACCAGAGCCTAGGTCACCTCTAAATCCTGCTCATGTTAATGAAACAATATTACTTGAGGCTCTATGTTTTAAATTGGAACTATAACTATGTATGATTGGGGGGCATAATGTGTTTTCAACTGGTGGAGAAAAAGCAATCGATAATATTGGATCATGAAAATAACTTACATATGACATTATAATGCATTGATTCATTCATTTAGCCATGCAAGTTGAAGGTTTTGCTGAATCTCTGGTCTGAGCCAGCTACTACCCTAGACAGAGCTTGGCCCACTTCATACTGTCAACTTCTCTTAAAATACTTGCATTCTGTAATCTTCTACAGTAAGCACTTCAAGTCCTCTTCACTTTGGGCAATAACTATAAAAGTATATGTATGTATGAATAAAATGTTTAGATTTTTCAGTCTATACATTTATGATGATTTGAGACCTTTGTGTCCTGTACATAAAGGTCATCGTTGAAAAGACATTTGTCCTGCTATTCTTTTCTGAGACTAGTGTTTTGATTATAAAGCTTTCAGACTTGAAACCTTTCAGAAAACACACACTTGGGTGGGCAAAAGGGTAGGAGAAAAAAGAAAGCTAATGACTAACATTAATGATTTGCTCTGGGAGGGTATGCTGGCCTCAACCAGAAACATCATTCTTTTAAGAGAAAGACCATTCTTACTAGAGTGAGATGATATAGTTGTTTTGATTTGCATCTCTTAGTGCTAGGGATTTTGAACATTTCTTCATGTGTTTGTTCACCATCTGAATGTCTTCTTTGGTGAAGTGTCTGTTCATATCCTGTGCCCACTTTTCAATTGGGTTGTTTTCCTTTATCTTGTTGCTTGAGTATTTTATAAACTCTAGATATAAGTCCCTTATCTGACATGTCATCTGTGGCTTCCCCTTTTACTTTGTTGGAGACGTTTTTTGGATGTGCATAGGGATTTGATTTTTAGAAGGTCCCATTCATCTATTATATTTCTCTACTGGTTGTAGATTTTTCAGGATGCTTGAAAGACTATTTATGTTGTGGATTAGGACTTCTGGAGTTCTTTCAAGCTTTTCTCTAATGAAGTTTATAGTCCTTGGTTTTAATCCTAGGCCCTTGATCCACTTTGAGCTGGTTTTTTCGTATGGAGTGAGGTGTGGATCTTGCTTGAGTTTTCTGCAGATAGCTTTCCAATTTTGCCAACATTGTTTGTTTAAGCTTTCCAATTTTGCCAACATCATTTGTTTAAAAGGCTGTTGTTTCCCCACTTAACTAATTTCATATCCTTGTCAAAAATCAGTTGACCATAGGTAGATGGGCGGATTTCCAGGTTTTCAATTCTATTCCATTGAACTATGTGTCTGTCATTGTACCAGTACCATGCTATCTTGACCACCACAGTAGTATAGTAAGATTTGAAATCAGGGAGTGAGATACATCCTACCTTGTTTCTCTTTTTAAGGAGTGCTTTGCTTATTCAGGGCCTCTTTCCATTTCAAATGAAAAGAATAGCAAAATTTAACAGAACAGCAAACAAATGCTAGTGAGGTTGCAGAG